TTGTAGTCTATTGTTTAAAAACAATTACTTTTTGTGATATCTTCATCATTAAGTAAGGGTAATTTTGTAAATATTACTACACGACAATGGATACTTTTGTCATCTTCACAAAGGGTAAAGTTAAATTTTTTACTAACAGACAATGACACTCTACAAATAAAATTTCAGAATATTAACTTCCAAAATGCTATTGCACTTTTATACAAATTTCAAATTTGTGGTTGTTTAATGGTTAAGTTATCTATTAAAATAAATTTTTAAACAAAAAATAATGATTGTTTCGATAAATACATCAATCACGACTTCTTCTAACTTTAACTTTTGTATTTTGATGGGTTGTTAACCCTAGAAATATGCCCCTACAACATAGAAGTTCTATGTTCCATGTTTCCCTTGATCCAACCGTCCATTTTTGAATGGAGGGTTAAGATTGCCCCAATCACAATGTAACCTCTCTACACTGTTTTATTTTTAAATTTTTTTATATAAATTGCTTTGACACCAAATTTTGGACGTACATTCTCGCACTAACGAAAAATATATAAAAATAATTTTAATAAAATAAAATGACCAAAATACCCCTGAAAGTTTCAAGAAGTATTTTGATCATTAATTTTTATCACAAAATTATTGTTAATATTTTTTATAGGTGCACCCCAATGAGAAGATGACACGTACCAAATTTTATATTAAAAAAAATTGTATTTAAAAAATTAAAAATAAAAGACATCGAATCTAAGATCAAACAGTGAGTGATTCTCTTGATAAAAAATGGACAGCTGAATGGAAGGGGGAACATAAAACTTCTATGCTGTAAATGGACAGCTGAATGGAAGGGGGAACATAAAACTTCTATGCTGTAAATGGACAGCTAAATGGAAAGGGGAACATAAAACTTCTATGTTGTAGGAGAACATAGAAAGCTTTCTCTTAAAAAAAATCATAGAAATTATATGATATTGTTTGGTCGGTTATTGATCGATGGTGATTCCCACTTGCGTAACTATGATTGTTATGGACATGCACATGCAACATAAAAGAAACAAATCTCGTGAAACATTGTCAAAGACCTTTACTAACCATGCTTTATATAGTATCACGTCTCATTGCATCTCTATGTCCTCTATTCTCATACGCCATCCCGTCCATTTCATGGACGTGACTTCTCTTGGGTCTGGCATTGTCATTATTTGTACGTTAGTGCAATTAAATAAGAGCACGTCCACCAACTAGGCTCATGTTGGATCATACTGTGTATCTACTCCCTCGGGCACATGAGGATGATTTTTCAATATGAATCTTTGCGAACTACCCAAAACTCATATGTATGATTATTTTCATCATATAATATTTGAAATTTAAGTTTTGTAACACTTAGATCTCACCTTTCAATTAAAAAAGTATACAATAAAATTTTTTACTTTTGGCACAATGTGGTCACAATTAATCTTGACCATTAGATGTGAAATTGAGTGGCTCCATTTATTCTATTGACCAAATTCGAAGTTTAAAATTTTTTTATTAAACTTTGTGACACACTTAAGCTATCATATTTCACGTCATATGATTATAAGTAACTGCAACTTTCATATACCAATGGTGAATTGTCACATCCTATACAATCCCTAGTAGTTTTTTTGCAAGTAAATAGGGAGTATGATTTAAAACGTTCATTTATTGAGGTTATATAATTCCAAATGGGTTCACGTGCTTGCCCAAAAGGTTAGGAACATAGAATGGAATATTTTTGCATGATGCTGATCCAAATCCTAGAGACAAATACCACCAAACATAGATAAGAGTGTCATTTTCAACTTTTCCATTGATGTAATTAGGGATTTTGACTTACTCGTTTCCCCTTATTGAGTCCAGGGAATTTGCAGCCCCACTCATTCACAATTTCTGATGCAACATATAGCTTGCTGGTAAACAGCTGGATATAATACATATCAAGTACATTGTATTCATGAGACTGAGTCTAAAATCGATATGATCACATATTCATTATTCTACAACCTATGGGTTGAATCATCATCATTTTATTTTTTTTTCAATTAATTAAAATTGGTTACATGAATTTTGATTCTCCATTCTATTTTATTAAAGTTTTTTTTTATTATCTTTGGCCTTAATGATATAAGGATTTGAATAGAAATAAGGGAAGTAAGTTGTCCCCCTCTTGAAAGAGAGAGAGAGAGGGATTTGAATAGAAGTAACTGGGGTGAGATGTCCCTCTCCAGGACGACCCTGTGCCATCCACGACCACGACACAAATCCAATCATTGTTGTCTTTAATAACCAGATTTTAGTGGCTTAGTTTTGTTTTTTTTTGGAAATTATTTCAAAAGCAAAGTATCCATAATATGATCATTTCATTCCTTATTTAGTCCAGTTGTTTCCCTAATTATTAAGGAAGAATTTTTTATTTTAAGTTTTTTAATTGAAACTAAAATTAAAATGAAAATTAAAACTAACGAAAAAACTAAAAAAATTAGAATTGTGGTTTAACCGACTTTCTTTGTAATTTCTACCAATAAATGGGCATTTTGTATTTTAATAGATTCTTTTGAGTCGATACGTAAATCAGTCTAATTTGAATGAAGTATGTCTGATGTTGCACTTGAAGCCTTACCACGGGGTCCAAAACATTAGACTAAAATGTGTGGTTTTGTGAAATTAGAAAGTACCTGTTGCCCAAGAGCTGCTGAGCAGCTATAATAATGTTTTCTTCTTCAAGGGAGAAGCGGCCTCTCTTTAGTCCTGGTCTCAAATAGTTTAACCACCTCAGTCTGCAACTCTTTCCACATCTCTCCAGTCCTACCAACAACCCCCTTCACATTAACACACTTGCATTTTACAAGAAAATATGTTGCTAACACTTGCGTATCTGCATCTCAACTGTGCAATGGTGCAGGTGTTGATGTGTGTGTATCAGTGTTCGTAAAATCGGGCGTTCTAACCGTTAACTGCTCTATTAGATCGGAACTAGTCAGTGGCCCGTTCGAGTTTTGAGAGGTTTTGGTGATCAACCGGTATTTAAAAAAAAAATTCAAAAAGATGTATGTAAATTCCCAAAAATAAAAAATTTGATTTGTAATACATTTTTTGATATTCTTTACATTATGGTAAAGATTAAAAATTGATTTGGTAGTTAATACTCACTTTTATATTTTCCCATCTTTTTCAGAAAATTTAAAAAATGCCTTAGGCACAAATCGATTCGTTAAAATCCATTTTTTTCATTAATCTTCAACTTCATTTCAATGTGTTTTGTTGTAATCATTTTTTATGTTCTTTTCACAATTTATTAGATTTTTTTTGTAATTTTTTTTAGTTTTTTCAACACTTTTTTGACCTCCCAGGACTTGTTCAGTTAAAGCGGTTGAATTGACCGGTTTACCGGTTAGGTTAGTTAAACCGCTTCCAGGCCCATGTCTGGTTAACCGTTCCAGTTCGACCATTTACCTATGGCACACCAAACTCCTCATTAGGGAATAAGGTACTGGTTCACATACTCAAGAATGCACATTCTTTTGCAATAGAAAAGTATAGAATGAGACCATTTACCTTTGATACACAATTAATTCTAACCATTGGATGTGAAATTGGGTGGCTGCATTTATTCCATTGGCCAAGCTCAAACTTCAAATCTTTTTTAAAGTATTAAAAAATAAATAGACAAATTTTACAGGGAAATAAAAAATAAAAAAAATATTTTTTTCAAACTTAATAGAAAATAGCAAAACATATGCGAAGTTTTCACCTATCTGATATTGGAGATGCTGGATAGGGGGGAAAACTAAAAAAAGGAGAAAAAGAAAAAGGGGCCGGTGTCCTTTGATTTTCAAGAACGCATCCGTACGTAATTTTCTCTAACTCCTATTGTAATGTATAAAAAAAAAAGTAAAGAAAATGGCCCTTCTTGTATAAATCTTGTATTGTTTAGAAAAGGCCTCTTTTCTCATGAATTGTTTAAAGTTCTCATATTCGAACGTCAAAGCCGAGTTTAGTCTAAAATGGGTTTGCAAGTTTATAGTGAAAACAAATATGGATGCGTGACACTAGGGCTCTTGATGACTATGGATTGTGACTTGATTATAATTTTTTGATTGTTTTAATTTGAAATGTGTTGCTTGGTTAAAATTATAATACGCTTTTGTCTTTTTAGATTATGTATTTTATAAATATTCCACTGATTTAAGGTTAAAGGGGAAAAAAAGCCTTCTTCCCCATCGGCCAAAACGTTGAAAAAGTGGCATATTTCTTGCCGGAGTTTTGAGTTGAAGGTGATTACACTGGTTTTGATATTGCTTGGAATCCAAATTCATTATCATTAAAACGGCTCAAGCTTTGAAGTCTTGCTCGCATTCTATACATGGTTTCTTTGAGTTAGCCAACACATCTATTTAAATGAGTCCTCTTTTAGAATCTATTTTTAAAAAAGTGTTTTATATATGGACGGTAAAAATTGTAGATAAAATACAGAATGCTCAATTTATATGCAGAAATTATAAAAAAGATCGGTCAACCTATTTTTTTTATTTTTTTCAAAATTACCAGTCAACACAAATTTTAATTTTTTTTAATTTTTATTAGTTTTTTATTAGTAGGGCTGTGCCCCAAGCTTTAAGGTATTGTCCTGTTAATGAAAAACCTAAAAAAAAACTTTAAAAAATAAGAATCAAAATTCGGGTTAATCAAAGGGTAATTTTGAAAAAAATTAAAAAAATATGTTGACCGGCCTTTTTTGTAATTTATGCATATAAGTGGATGATTTCGTATTTTACCTAAATGTAAATCACTCTTTTAAAAATAGTTTTTCATTCAAAATTTTAGGGAATAAAATTCTCGACCAGAATTCAAGTTTTTGTGGAATGACCATTATTTTTTAACATCCGTCTACATTCAAGAGGGATATTTAGTGCATTGACGGACCCTATAATATGAGTGTGTCGCCTAACAAACGTACTACGTTTGCATTTAAAAAGCTTGACACCATGTTTTAAAAAGCCAAAATAATTGCTGCTCCAATGGGAGCTACGTATGTGCTTCCTCATGTAAAACTCGAGCTCCGAATATTTTTTGAAACCCAAAATTTTGGGTATGTAACCTCTAGAAACTAATAACCAACCTCAACAAAAATAAATAAAAAAAAATCATCCTCTCTTTATGCCTAAGAAAATAAATGTGCCAAGATTGATCAATAACCGTCCAATTTTTGGTGGGCAAGATCGAGATCTTCAAGAATTCAAACTCCAAATTTTATTCTCAAAAAAGATAATTTAGATGGATCGGATAATTTTAGATTTAAAAAAGCCTTCCAAATAGCTATTTTGATCGAGAGAGTTGACGTAGAATATGCTCCTACGGGAGGATGCGACACGTGCTCTTTTAAAAATGGATAGGATTGAATATCGTTCTTAAAACCCAGCCACGTCCTAGGGTTAACACATTCTCCATGGAAGCCTGTCATGATCACAAATGAAGTCTGAACGGAATCCGATTCCATAGTTTAGTAAGATTGCAATAGGTTGGGCTAAGGTTGGCCTGAGTTAGGATTGGGACCCTAGAGGCATGACCTGAGCGTGGGCCATGCTACAGTGCCTTGGCTCACCCTGGATGACTACGAATTTGTATAAGGTGTATTTTCATTATCATCATGGGAGCCTTATCTTAATAATTTGATATGATCCGTACAAATCTTTTTCAATAATGTTGGCAAGAAAGGAACCTTATATGAAAAATAATAAAACTCACTTGTCTATTCATTACTCAATAGGGCTCAGAGCCCAAGCCCCAACAAATTAGTGATACCGCTCCATTTACTATTTTTTTTGGGGTCTTGGGCCTTAATGGGTAAGAATAGTTATGTAAGTTTCATTATTTCTCATGCCGGGTTCTTTTTTACTAACATATTTGGTTGAAGGTATGCCCCCATGATAGGATTGTATACAATGAAACCAATTACCTTTGATACAAAGAGGTCGTAATTCTTTATAACGATCCATTCAAAATCTAATAGCTTGGGTGTATCATTTATTTTGAAATTTATGCTAAGTCAATGGCATAAATGCAACCATACAATTTCACATCTAAGATTAATTGTGACCACCTTGTATTAAAAGTAAATGATCTCATTGTATACTTTTCCATTTTAAACTACTTATCATACGGTCTCATTATTTACTTTTCCATTTTAAATTACTTTTCAAATTCAACTATGACTCAAAAAATTAAAAGAATAATTATAAAATTCAAATTGTCTTTCGGATGGATTTTGAAATGACAAAAACTGCTCTGATTAAAATCCATAAAATACATATAATCAAGTCATTTTGGATCGAATTTCAAAGCAGAAAATTCCAAGTTCACAATTACAGTGGTGTATCCTAGAATAAACACCCCCTTCCCCCCCAACCAAAAAAAAAAAGATTGTATACAATAAAACCATTTACCTTTCGTATAGGGAAGTCGTAATTACTTAAAATCATCATATGAAATTTGATACCTTGAATGTGTCACAAAGTTCGATAAAATTTCTTTTGAACTTTGAGCTTGGTCAATGAAATACATGCACCAACTCAATTTCACATCCAATAGTCAAGATTAATTGTGACCAGAATTTTTTTTTCGCAAATCAAATCTTGCTCTCTCACACATACCTAGAAACCATGTTCTCTGTCTCTCTCTCCACAAAGTCAATCTTAGCAGTCTCTGCTTCCTTTTTACCAACAAACCCTGCTCTCTCTTGCTCTATCTCTCTCTCTCGACCACCTGAACTTGTCTCATTACCCCAGGGCTCTCTTTCTCCACACCGATGCTCCAATCCAACTGTTCTCTATCTCATCACAACATAAACTGTTACTCCTTACCTCTCTCTCTGAACCTTACTCTCTTTCCAGATGGTCTTTCTCCTGCGATGCATTGACAATCTCAGTGGTTTTTCTCTTTACAGTGAGAGAGGAGCATTTCTACATTTGCATCTCCCAAGGCATAGAACATCCACTTTAAATATGGATGAAAATGTGCAGTCCCTCCAAAAATGTTGAATCTAATAATTTAATATTTTCTTTATAAAATTATCATTTTTAGTTTTTAAAATTTATTTAGTTTTAGATGTTTATGATCTCCATGTTAAAGATTATATATTCCTTGAAAATTCAGCCTAAAATCCATCTCAAAAATAGATTTTTAAGAAAGAATCATTTTTACACACATCCCAAGACTCATGGAGACGTGTCCGGGATTTCAATCCCGAGCCAGGCCTGTGGGCGAGATGTAGTGTTGCGGTGGCAGGCCCATTGGCAGCACTCCGCACCTCCTGTCCTTTTTGTGCTTTTTTTGGGTAGTTTTGCATCCGAGATCCCAAATTGTATGCAAATGTTGGTTGCAGGCTTCATATAAATTCCAAAAGTGTGCGTAGAGTACTTGTTTCACATCATAGCACAAACAGCACCTGAATGCTCCAAGAAGATGAGGTGCAAGACAGCGGATATAGGCATGACAGGGTCCTCAGATGTGCTCTTGTTTCCAAGTCGCTCTTCCTTCTAAAAACAATGAAAACTAACGGTCCAAATATTTTCTTACTAGAATTATTTTTTAATTTTTAAAATTTACTTATTTTTTCATATTCATGATCTCCATGTTAGAGATTACATGTCTTTAAAAAATAAGTCCCAAAATCCATCTAAAAAATAGATTTATTAATAAGCCCACATTTCTACATATGCGGACTTGGCAGCATAGAAACCGGGTCCTTTTTTGTTTATCATTTTTGTTTTATTTTTCTTTAATTTTGCCTGCCAAAGCTCAGCCCTGATAGGGCCAAGGGAGACTCTCATTGGAATAAGGGTGGGCTAGGGCCAGGGCTGGCCTGTTGCCGGCCCTATTCTTATGTATTGATATGCATTATTTATAGGAAAAGTGTCGTGGTGGTAGAATCCCCATACCTAGTCACCACATTGTGGTTTCTATTTTTACCACTTACATCGCCCCCACTACCACCTTAAAAAATCTAACTCCAAATCTACTTAAAAAAAACAGGTAGGGGGTCTGTCTTACCCACTGACTTACCCCAAAAAAAAAAAAAAAAAAAAGTTCTATGCGTTGGGGGATGCATTCCTACATTTGTGTCCCCAAGGCATAAAACACCTATCTTAAAGATGGATGCTAATGTGTGGTAAAAATTAAAATCATCAATTATCATTTTCAAAATTTAAAATTAATTTATTTTTACATATTCACGATCTCCATATTAGAGATTACATATTCTTTAATAATTAAGTCCAAAATCTATCTCAAAAATAGATTTTTAAGAGGGGACTTATTTCTACATATGAGTTCGAGGACTCATCGAAACCTTATCCTAATTCAAAGGAAGAAAATATTAAACGGCTGCAACTTTGTTAGAGAAGTCACTACAGATTGTAATGTCCATGAATAATTGATGCCAAACTAATGTTAAAAAAAAAATTATAACCGTACAAAGATCCCCATAGTAAATTAATACATTGGTCTCTCAGTTCTCCAAGTTTTTGGCCCAAAAACTTTTGGGTGTTTTGAGGTCTCAAAAGTCCATGCATCCATCAAAAAGAAAGAAAAATTGATTTGGAACCCTCATCTGGACCCTTTACTTTAACGGATACTATATAAAAAAGGAGCTATAGTTGCTATTTATGTTCTGCATGGAGGAAAAAAGACACGTCCCAATTGCCGTTCATTATTAACATCGTGTGGTCAGGGTCCGATGAGAAATATAAAGAGGTACTATACTATGGTTTCCCTTAGGGACCAAAGTCATTGTCTTTCTTCTCCTTTATTTTTTCATGATAGAGAGACACTATGCTTATTTCATACGTTTATTTGATTGTGCTTCCCAAGATTGAACCAAACATTTACCTACCAAAAAACACACGCGCACACAGGTACACACACTCTACACACTATTGGAGATGAACTACTTACATGTAATGGGAATCGGCAGAGGGATTCATAGAACATTTTGTTTACATTATTGGGACCGCATTTGCCTCTAGTTGGAAAAGACAAAATAAATTCTGACAGCCAATAATGAATGTGCATGTGGAGAGAATAAGAGAAATGGTTACCAGCACCCTTGGGAACAGAGGTCCAGCACCCGTGGCCGTGCTTAGTGATATAAGCCACAAGCTTTTCGTCTTCTTCAGGAGACCAAAGCCCCTTTCTTAACCTCTTCTTCTTGCTACATAACTCACAGTCCATTTTCACGCACTCAAAATATGCACACGTGCACGTACACGCGCACCGAGAAGAGAGCTGAGGAGAGGAGAGTAAACAGTACATGAGGCGACAATGGTATGTTGCCTTTTATATGCAGCAGTTGCTTAGCAAACGGAAGGTGTGAATAACACGATTAGGAATTAATTCGAAGAACAAATAGCATACTTCCAAGCTTTCATTTGGCGGGTTTCTCATGAGATGGACTCGTGTAGACATGTCTTTGGTACGGCACTAAAGCAAGGTTTAAACGACCCCAGTGTGGTCAAATCCAACTTGGCTTGGCCTGCGTGCTACGCCTCTCTCACTCTCTCTCTCTTACCAAGTTTCAAACGCTTTCTATCTCTCTCGTAATATTGCACACTGTACATCTACTCCCTGGGGCAGACAACTTATTTTCTATACAAAAATTTGTAAACCAACTAAACAAATCTTTATATATATTATTATTCCCACTCATTAGATGTCAAATTGGATGGCTCGCGGTTAATCACGAAATCTGAAGATTTAGTTTTTTTGGAATTTTGTGTTTATTCAATAACGCTCTTACAACTACCCATTTTAAATTTAAAGGAAAAAAATAAATACAACCTCCATATTACAAGATAGGAAACCACCCATTTTGGAATTTTAAGGGATAATAATGATTGTGACTTCTATGTACAAAAGATAAATGATCGTTTTATAAACAATCCCTTATTTTTAAATAAAAAAATTTAAAATTTAAGCTTCCAAATGCATAGATCTCAATATCGAAAACTTTAAATAGTCTTTGCTAAATCTGAAGCTAACATTTTTTTTCAAAGTGCATAAAGAGTGAGATTTGGGTTTTCATTTTTTTAATGAGGTTAGTCTATGGGTTGAAGAGTTTGCATCCCCAATCTTTCGGGTCTTAAAATCATTCCTAGATTAGGTTTTACCGAAGAGAGTAAAAGGACGTTCTCTTTTCATTTTTCTTGCGCAACTCACTGTGGACTACTATGAGTTTGATGCCTAGAAATCCTCATCTCTATATAGAATAAAATAGGTATCTAGAGAGTAGAATAGGTACTCTTTATTATTTTTGGTAGTTAAGTTGTAAGAATCGTGCTGCTAAATGTCAATTCCTTAACGTCGGTTGTAGAATATTTACTCTGACGTAAATGTGTGGGAGATGGAGTACTATAATGGAAAGGTACGGGTACATAGAAGAGACTATGCATGATATGCTTTTCCAAACTGAAAAAGGTCGACTCTTCCTCAAAGGGGAGTTTATTAATCGGAAGGACTAAAGAGGGAGAATGAACATCTTCCTATTTTTATTTACTTATTTGTACAATATATCAATAAAAGGATGAAAGTAAATTATAATATTAGTAACCGGCTGTTCACCGGCAGGTCGGTCGGTCTTGATGAAGGCGAACACTAGCAAAGTGATCAGCGGGCACTAGCGCTTTGCTTTGTTGTTCGCATTTGTCAACTGAAGTAGCATAGCGCAGTATGATAGCTGATAGAGCAGAGCACGGAGCCTCGTTTTAGTCGTCGTGAGCAGAGCCGTTTCTACTGTCGTACTACGCCTTTGCTATTAGGAGTTGTCCAACAGTAGGGCGAACAACCAACTGGATATAGATCAAGGCCCTAGCTATTCCCCATACTACTGCACTTTCCGGCTAACAAGTAGTGGTCCTGACCCTTTGATGTACGCTGCCGGCCCGCCGCTCCAACCACCCGGCTGAACTATTGTGATTCAGTAAGTATTATTATGAAATACAATACTCAAACCCTGAGTACTAACTATTAGCTACTACTACTACTCCCGGCCCAATCTACAGGTTGTGCTCTGGTTATGGAGAACCTACTAAGTCGACAGAATCAACTGCTCGATCTACTGAGACTAATAAGATTATGCCGCCGGTGATGCCTGTGTTGGATCCGTGGAAAGGACTAGGGAGCCCATTTACCACTACACATGGTTTACTTCATAAATTTTACTTTGTAAAAATACCCCCTCAAAAATTTATGCAAAACTTCTCAAATCGTCTTTGTTCAAGGCGAGGAATCCCTAAACAACTACAAGCATTTTGATAGTTTGACATATTTAAGTGGATCGAGCCAAATTACGAAAACACCAGTTGGAATCAGCAAACTACCAAATGTAAAACATATGTATAGTTAATCTCTAATAATTCATGAGGGTGGTCCAAAGAATAGAGACATGAGCATAATACGTTATAATAATCGAATTAGAAAGTCATGTAAGGAAATAAAGACTCCAAAGCGCTTAGAAGAAGGTTATAGTTAATGGTTGGCAAGATCACGGGATAAGATTATAGGGTCCCATGGGACCATATTGTGCATTTCCTCCCATGGGTGAAACCCTGGTAGGTGCATTTTTACTTCCTCAAATTCTGCAGTTGTAACCTGCACAAGCCAATGACTTGGCTTAGAAAAGTACAAATAAAAGAAATTTAATTTTAAGCACCCCGCTTGAAAAAATAAAACCTCCTATGGTTAGTCAAATGTAGGTGTTTACAAACTCGAAATGCTTTTTTTCTTTCTTTGGAAATGCTCAGCTGATACTTTCCAAAAAAAACTAACTCCCTAATCTATCTGAAAAAATGGGTAGGAGACTCTCTTCCCCATTGAATTACCCTAAATAAAAGAAAAACAACTCGCATATCAAGAAAATCCTCCTACATAGATTTTTGCTGGCACACAATGGCATTGCAGAGACTGTAGAGCGAATACAGGACACCCATTCTGTTAATATTTTTATTTATTTGGTCCATTTTTAAGGTTACTTTTTATTTCCAGAGGGTCCCCAACCTTGAATAAATAGAAGACAACGTTTTTCCTTCTCAATCTTTTGGAGTTTGAATTTCATGCTGATTCGGAAGAAAAATTAAGTGAAAAGAGTAACACTTAAGGAAAGGTTACATGGATGCTTTAGAGAGGGCAAATGAGAAAAATAATGCGTAGGAGTGGAATCCATAATATATAATATACAAATACAGGTGCATGTATATATGGATTTATGCAAAATCAATATTGACCGGTTTTCATAGATAATAAAGTAATTTACGAGGATATTTTATCTGTTTTTTTATTTTTTTTAACAAAAAAGCCCCCATCTCATATCTGAAATTCCTATGGAAATTTTTAAATTTTAAATAACCTGAAAGTACTTCTTAATCCCAGGGCACAACAAAACTCTTGTTGGTGTGCCATGGGAGATAAAGGAATTTTTATTTTCTTCAATTCTAGAAATTCGAATTTAAAATATCGGAAGATGAGAATTTAAGATTTTGAAAATCTAAAACTTCAAATTTCAGATTTTCAAAATATGTATTTTTGAGAATTTTGGATTTTGAAAATTTTAAAATTATTCCAGGCACCCTAAATTCTAGAAATTTCAGGCTTTTCAAATTTTATAGGGTCTAAAATGACACCCTTCATTCATGAGTCAATTCCTCTCAATTCCCATAAGATCTCCCACTAAAAGGTTGTAGGTAGATCCTAGTCAACAGAGAAATACATCATTATCTTCTTCATATAACCGCTCTAAAATAGCACAGAATACCCATTCTGCAGAATGTCGTTCTTGATGTGTTGAATATTTCAATAATTCTTAACTAGGGCGTATTGCTTGGCTAGAAAAATTATTAGCTTTCTCATATCTCATTTCCAAGCTTGATCTCGACTCAATAATGAAAAAAGACATCTACTGACATCTAATATCAACCTCTCTGATATCAATGATAAAAAGGATAATATGATCTTGGAGGGGGGACATTTTTTTTCTCTCTCCCCCCTTTTCTTTTCTTCCCTTTTGGTGAAGATAACATACAAGTAGCCTTATTACAATAACTCTTGCTTCAAAGAAAATAACAACTTACAAATCCAAGATCTTAAAAACTTTGATACCGCTGAACCAATTTTCTTTAATCAAAGAAAATAACCACAAATCTTATGCTTGAGAATATAAGGATTATACAATAAAATATGCAAGAAACAAAAGAGAATGCCGGAGATTACCTCAACCAGGATTATTACACCCCACACCGAGTCACCACCATCCGATGGCATGGGGTCGACGATCTTCATTCAATCTTAACCAGGAAAGCTAATTTCAGCTAAGCTCTTCAATGGAACCCTTATGCTCTTACAAGAGCTTTTGGATCAATCCCCAAAATACTGCTTCAAAAAAAAACTCCTTCACTATATTTCCCAACCTAGGCTTAGATAAAATTTGAGAGAGAGAGGTGGCTTATCTCTAGGCTTAGATCAAATTAGAGAGAGATGGTTTATCTTTGGGCTAAGAGAGAGAAGATGTATTTCCTTGAGAGGGATGGGAGAAGTGAGAGGGGCATGCCCCTTATGAAGAGAGAGATGATAGAGGTGAAGCGTGATTAGAATGAAGGGAGATTACTCTTTTTATGGAGAATTGGGTTATAGGGTTTCCATTGTTTGCCTTACAAGATTGAATCTGAACCGTTGATCAAGGGTGACTTTTGGGGTGAAAGATCTGAGTCAGTCATTCCATAGATGGGCCATCAACATTACAGAATGTGCTGAACCATTATCCCCTTTTTCCTTTGACCATTATCCCATCAAATAAAAATTAATCAAGAAAATATTGTGCTCTATCCAAAATATATATTCATATGCCTTATAAGTCTTCTAAAAGATTTACTCAAATCTCTTAAGGATAAAATACTTTCTCAAACCAATTTGAGATAAAATACATCAGCAAATCCCATAAATAGGGGGAGGTGCCACCTAGAGGTGCCACCTATGGGATAAGCCTTCCCTCAAAAGGTGGCGTGCCACCCAAGATAGGGACTTATAGGCTCTACCTTCTAGAATATGGTGGGCCCCATGTGTACAATAGGCCCTTATAACAATTCATATATTTAAAAAAATAATAAAAATAAATTTTAGAATATCATTTGAATATTTAAATCATTAAAATCAATATCTTTAATTTTATAAACCTAAATTGTATAAATAAAATATCCAAGGATTATAAAAATTCAAATAACAATTCTAAAATAATATCTAC